TGGACGAGATAGAGTGAGCGAACGAGAACGGATGAGGGCTAGATTAGCGTGACAAACAGAAGGAAGGGCGGCCGACACATGCGCTGGCAAGTGCTGCGCGAACGAGGCGATGGAGTCGATCGCTGCTACCGTTTCTCGAGGCACTTCGAGACAACAACTTTGAATACGAACATGAGGGCGAGAAGAGGAAAAATAGAAACAGCCGACTATCACGATGACATCCATTAAACAATATACCTCGGTTGACGTTCTCCGGCAGCGTTTTGACGTCAATGGAGTTCAGATCACCGGCCCCAGCCGCCGTGTAGCCGTGAACCTCGATCCGGTAGCTGGTCTCTGCCTTCAGCTGATGAATTCGGTCGTAAACTGTGCTCGTACTGAGTGACATGTACTGACAGGCAGCACTGTCCACCAGATAGGCGTCCTCCTTCGGATCTTGGGTCACTGGACAGTGTGACAAATTGTATCCGAGCAGAAATCCATTGATTTCCTTCGGCGGCTTCCATATAACGCCAATTTCCCGATGAGACAATGGAAATGCGCTCAGGTCTTGTACCGCAGACGGAACTAAAAAAATATACCGACGAATGAGTAAAAAATACAAACGTTTAAATATCAGGTGGCATCGGATAAACTGACCGATTCACTTTCTCAGCAGTGCCTGGGATGCTTAAAGCGTTGACTCTAAAGTCAGTGGGCTCAGTCGATTATCTCGCGGATAAGATTTACGTATGTTAATCCAGAAATCATTTATGCCTATTCAAATGCAATCTCGAATCTTTTTAACCGTAAAGCTTGAGGTCTAAGAATAAACAAACATAATTTGACAATACTCTTAACGATTTTTCGTCAGCATTTCATGGCAGAAAAAAAGAAAAACGTCCAGAGAATGAGATCGAATGGAATGGACAACTACACTGCAGAGATAAATTCATGAATCGTCAGGATAGATGCGAAGGGCAACCATGAGCCCTTATGTCGACTGACGAGGTATGGACAACTGTAGGTGACAGAGTTCCTTATCTGCATCATGTAAATTCTATAATGATAGGTAAATGTCCTAGTAGATCAGGCTGTAAGCTAAGGATAACTATTCGAACCGACACTCTCGATCCCCTGCACCGGACACATTCAAAATGAACTACAAAGTCTCATTTCACAAGGTCTCACTACGGCTACATCTACGCGAGGACTGAGGTAAACAGAAAAAGCGCGACCGCGCATATGACTCGGAATTTGCAGAACAACGAACGGGAAAGGCAGATCAGCTGGAATCGACCTTATCAATGGTAACCTATATACTGACATATTCAACAGTATTAACTTTTCATCCACATACCTCCCACCGCTTCATAATTTTTTAAACCTTGTTTCATTAGTATGCATCATGTTTCTTGCTCTTTGTTAGTGCACTATACGTGTCAAATAAACGGGACAATGACTGCTTAAATGTTAGCTTTACATGCCTCTTCCGCCAATTTAAGCAATAAACTCTTTTCATTGATAGAATGATTGATATTGTTCATACTGTATCTACGCTATATTAGTATGTATGACCTAGAATATATATTCATACGGTGTAGAATCATTATGTAATGGATATGCACTGGATAACAAGTAACAGTATATAACAGATATTAAATTAATACACACAATCCAGTGGACATAATAAGAATATGTAAATATTGTACGTAAAAATGGATACCTGGAATTATATAATATTACTCAGCCGTAAACACTACATGATGCACCGGTCTGCAGTGTAAAACTGCGTTTGCATTTTTTTCATACGTTTATAACCTGGTCTTTATTCAATATTACGATACGATATTTTATTATGTTTACAGAAACATACTATATAATCCTACTTAACGATGACTAAACTAGTATTTGCAATGTCCTGCAAATCATATTAAACGTACCTTATCGTACGCAGGAATAAGGTAAATACTAGTTTACTACATACTAGCCAGCGCATATCCGCAGTGTGCATAGTGACACACTGTAAATACAATACACAGCTTTGACTACCAGGCACCACACTGTACTTATGCTGCAATTATAGTATATATAGTAGTCACATAAATCTCGAATTACAAAGATATAAAACAATACAAATCGTACATTACTGCACAGTCGAGTACTTCGACAGTTAAAGTCATGCAGAGAATTCCGAATATATCCAGGAGTTTAGATATGTTCTTAGATGATTGCCAGAGTGAGGCACAATTTCAACACAGTTGCTTCAGGGACTAACATGAACGGGAGTCCCGGCTTAGCTTTCAGAAAGACCTCCTTAAAGACAAGTTTGCTTTAGACGTACGACCAGGTCATTCCCGCCGAAAGTATCAGCTGCCGCAGATCACCGTGTTTTAAGCCATAAAATCTTGATTGGAGGAAGGCAATAAAGACATTAGACAGACATAGGCGAAAGTTGTTATGAATGGATATTGGACGAAGGATATTCTGGAATATGCCGGATCAGAGAATATTGAAATTATGTGCTTTAAAGATTCAGATATTAAGGATGAGTGTTTGGGAAACATACACTGTCAGACAGCCAAGGTACTCCACATATCCAATACACAATATTCATACACGATAAAGCAGTGTCAAAGTTGTGAAATAAATCTTAAAAGAACCCAAACAAAATATGATACATACTAAGAAGCGCCTGTATGAATGGCTTATCAAAGAGGGGATGGTAGAAGTATTTATAGGGTGTACAATTAGTTTATTCTCTACTGGAGAAATTTCAGGAAGTACGAACTGAAGATGGACTATGATTAGAGAGAGTATCATGACGATATTAAGAGCTACGCAGTAGAAAGTCCTGAAGGTGTACGCTAAAAAGTAAAGTAACCTAAGAACTCCAAAACACTCAGCATCCTCATTTTGTCACTTCAACCGCACCCTTAGCTTGTTCTGTTTGAAAAATGGCCATTATGGGGGCAATTCTCCAACAGCCACTGAATCGGAACATCAGAAGAATTGCAAAACAATTGCAAAACATTCCTATTAAATATTCTGAAAACATGCAGAGGTAATGGTCCTACATTTAGACGGAATCACAGAACGGAATTTCAGTGCGGCTTCTTTGAGGATTAGAATGAATGAAACGATTAGTTCTTGTTTTACCCGTGAGAAACTTTTTAAGCGTGTCTTTCTCCAAGATCGATTCGTTTTCGATGTACTGGGATATCTGTCATCTCGTTTGAAGAAAATGATGCTTTTGAAAGCCGCATTTGAAAGTCACAGCTTAAGTCTTCTGAAGATAAGGTAGGAAAATAGTTAATTAAGATTTAAAACATCCGGACTAGTGTTGGAAATTCAAGAGGTAGATAAAGAGGAGTAAGAAGAAAATGATGCTTTTGAAAGTCGCATTATGCAAGTCATAGCTTAAGTCTTCTGAAGATAAGGTAGAAAAAGAGTTAATTAAGATTTAAAATATCCGGACTAGTGTTGGAAATTCAAGAGGCATTTAAAGAGGAGTCATTATTGAAAAAGAAAGAACAGGATGAATTCAGTTTTGAAGCAACTACAAGCTGAATTTCAAAAGAGATCGTCCAAGAGCAAATAATGGCAAATGAACCGTTGTAAGACGCAGGATTAACCGGTACTATGCTCCAAAGATATATTATAATTAGACGAATAAATCAACCAGCTTTGTCCTCAGTCTAAAATGTTAGAGACAGAAGGCACTGCAAGCTTTATAAGCCACTTTTTAAGTCTTATTAATGTCCTTACAACGGGAAATCGCCAAATATTATTTATACTAAGGAAGTTGACAAACGCCTTCATCAGGGATACATAAATCACAATCTCCTTTCAAACATATGTTAGATATTATCCTGTTATTATAATGCAAACTGTAAAGTGTCCCGTAGTAGCAGCCGCAACAAGCTTCTAACTAGTTGAATAGCAGCGACGGGTGGTTCCGATTTAGGTCATGAGTAAGAGAGAACGACTTCGCATAGTTTCATTGATTTTCCTCGCCAGCGACAATAGCGCATAAATTACGCGGCTCATTTGTTACTAACCCGAATAACTTTAAGAAAAAGTTTAAACATCGCTTCTCAAGAACTGCTGTTGTGCTGGAGACAACTGCCAACGTGAAAATCGAGCACTTAGCACCTACCGATTACCTCTAATTTGTTAAAAAGGAGAAAAATAGTCGAAGAAAAGGAAAGATAAAGTTTATGATGAAATTCATGTTCAGCGATTTACAATAACTTAAGTTAGTAAAGTCAATTCGTATTAGTCTTACTGGATTTGTTCAATCTCAGAGCTACAAATCGCTTATGAACGTAAATTTTCGACTGGCGCCGTGGAAGGGACGGTTGAAAAGAGATGTAAGGGTAGGCAGAAAGGAGAGGTCGAGTGATAGCAGAATAAAGCTAGTATGATGATCAAGAACGGGAAGGTAGAAGGAGGGTCAAGACTGATAATGGATGGGATTGAGACGTCAGCAGAGCGCCAGACTCTAAACTGATAAGTACTGGGTTCGAGTGGCGGTGGGGTAAATCGCCTTTCTTCCTTTAGAGGCTGGTAACGACTTTGTGGGAAGGAAGCTAAAAAACAATACGCCGCTGCCAAGTAACAGCTGTCAAATTTGCCATTAAAAATAAAACACTTCACTGAGAGCACAGAATTAGAGAAACTTCATGGGATGTTCTCGTGGCTGATGTTCGTTTAAATCGCCTAAATCATTCTGAGAAGACAAAGAGTCAGTAATCATTAATCTGGGTACTGGTCGTTGATCCTAATACTTCAGATGATGAAGACAACAACAACAAATCCAATGAAAACAAGACATGAAACTGGATGACAATAATCCAATAGCTGCAAACTTTATTTCCATCCGTTCTTTACAATGATGATGGCAAGCATGATAAAGGAAACCAAGAACGGTCTGAGTGACATGATAAAAAAAGTAGGCGCATAATGAGTCAACGAATAGGGTTAAAAACGGTTGGTGTTGATGAAGATCAATGTTCATTATGAACAAGCGTAGGGTGTTGAGGAAGTCGAATTGACACGGTCGGAATAAGGCATTCCTAGAAATAAAAGACGACGCATACTTGAATAACAGATCTACAGTTCATCCATAAAACAGACACTATGCCAGTCACAAACAATTAAAAACAATGATGGGGACGGGGTGGGCTCGCGTCATTTACGTGATCGCCCCCTTGTAGGATTCGTGTTCGAACAGTTGCAACATCGCAAAGCAAAACCGAAACGCAGCACTGCTGACGTCAAAGGAGGATAATAAGGATGATAATTAGTAATAAACCTGATTACTTAAATTATAAAGAATCTGGAGGAAGGATTACGGCTCATGACGATGATGGCGACGAACGAGAAACAGATGGATGATTAATAATAAGAAACGAAGCGAAACAGATGAGCAGAACTTGGAAACTGACGCATAAATCGGTTAAACAATGCGGAAAACATACCGTTTTCGAGGGATGGACAAAGAGCTGACTAGTAGTGGGAAAGTGTATGGCTAAGCACATACAATGACCTATGTTCATGAATGCTGGATAGTGTGAACTCATACTGAGAAGCGGCAGAAATGAAACTTATTCGACGAGCGCTGGTGTGGCCTATTACATATAGTGATCAGTGTATTGGACAATCCGGTATGCATTTTTCCGTCCATTGTCTTCAAACCGTATATCACAACTGAAATAGTTTGAATATCAGGCAGTTACGTTCTTTACCAGTGAGGAAAGAAAAAACCAAGCTAAAAAAACATTCGGTACCAGAGAATTAGAATATAATAAACCTCAGACGTGGGCGGCTTAGAATCATTTCAATTGGGCATGACCCGAAGGCGGAGGGCCAGGATCATTAGAGAAAACTCTTGAAAACTTCACCATCGCTACCACAAAGAAGAAATGGGGACACTAATAAAAAAAGGGCGATAGAGTCAGTTAATCACCATAATCATCATCGACACTATTACAATCATCAGCAGCACCTTTACCACTATCAATTCACCGTAATGTCTATTATCATTATCATCGTCTTCAAACTCATCACAATTTTCATGTTATTGGTTTATTGTGATACGACAAATAGTATTACTGCATATATTAACTGTCAGGCAATGAAGAATGCAATAAAGACGACATCTAGTTCTCAGGTCGTAGAATTGGCAAAAAAAGAACGGTTTCAAATGATAGCGTCCACAACAGATGTCCGTTGTCTCAACTGATGGACTTGAGCTCGTTTTCACGTAAGTGACGGCTTAAATCGCGGCTTCGTTTGCCTTGTTTCTGAGATCACTCACTCCGATGGCTTCTTTACCTACTTTAGGTTCAAAGAACTAACAGCTGTGATAGCATTTCGATGAACGCGTCGACCTATTGCTCTCTAGGCAATGAAAAACTAGCTCATAAAAAACTTAAGCTCCAATTCAGTTGTTCACATAGACTTAGACGGACAAATGTCGTGGCACACGTTATGACGTTATGATTCTTGTTTCTTCTTGTCCTTCAAATACATAACTTTTTTTTCATTTTTCTAGTCGGAGAATAATTTTAGACAAATGTGCACTCGCCTTATGGGAGATTTGCAAACACATGTTAGAATTCGTTTCGATGCGATTTGGGCTTTATGAATAAGCTATCGAATGAGAAAAATAAACTCAAAGACAGGCCCAGCAAATAAACGCTATTACACGATGATTACTGTTTATGAAAAATATATATTTGCAACTTGTCTAAGATGTGACATCGGATATTCTCAAAAGTTTCGGATGATCCATCCAATCTCCATACAAAAACATTAGAAAACATACAATGTTACAGTGTAAATTGGTACTGCAAGGTAGCAAGTGTTGTATATCACGTTTAAGGATAAGAAAATATAACATTTTAATTTAAGCAGACTAATAAACATGTCTCTGAAATAGATAAAGTTTTGTGATATAAACTGGGCCTTCGAAGTGTCTTTGTATTACATACTGTTGTAATCAAAAATCAAAAAACCCGTCGCACTTCTTATATGAAAATTGACTGATAAAAATTGTCCATTAAGTAATTTCATTAAATTTGTCATTTCAATTAAAGTAAATATAAAACTGTAATAAACTAAAGTAATGTAATAAACAACCAATAAAAGTGACAGCTGACGA